ACCCTTCCCCACCCCCCGCTATGCCCAGGTGTGGGTTCACACTTTCACAAGGGTTTGAGACTCTTCTGAAAAGTGGAGGTCTCAGAAAACCCACATGAACATCGGGTGTTGTATTATAATTTCTGGGTGATCCCAGGTTTCCAGGGGCCCCAAATGAGATAAAGGAGCCAGTTGGAGGGGAAGAGGAGAAGAGGAGGGGAGGTGGGGGGCCCAGCACCCTGCTGGCAGCCCAGAGCCCAAAGGATGGATCTGGGAGATGGTGAGGGATGATCTGTGCCCTGGACAATGCAAAGGCCATTGAGGAGGACACATTGGGGTACATCTCTGACCACACCTGTGGGTGTTTCATCCGGGGAAGGGACGTAGGAGGGGCCTTGAGTCTATGCCAGTGAGCCCCGAGGAGAGAACAGTCCCCAAGGAAATCAGTCATGGACTGCAGGACACGGCACACAGCGCTGGGATTCGAACCCAGGCTGAGCGCCCCCTAGGCTGTGCCTTTTTCTCTGCCTTATACTGGGAAGTTGGATGGACCTTCTTCCCCAGCAAAGCTGAATTCCTCCCCCAACCCCCCAACCCCCACTCCCAACCTCTGCGGAGCAGAGCTGGTTACTCTTTTAAAGTGTGCGAATGGAAGGAGAGATGAATGAATAAGTCAACTTGCTTTTGAATTCTACAGCATTTGGGCTTTAAAATCTAAGCCCAGATTTCCTGGCTAAGAAGACAGATGAAAGCAGCCTCCTTTAAAAATCGAGAAGTCAGAGAAACAAACATAAAAGGAAAACCAATTCCAAATTAATCCCACCGAAGGCCTCTAGGTCTTAGGGAAGGCCCGAGAGGTGGGCAGCCCCGAGGATGGCGGGGGTGAGGTTTGAGACACGCCCCCTCCACCATCCAAGAAGGGACATGGCTGACCCAGAGCTGCGGCTGCTCCACTAGCATCCTTAGCTCTGTCCGGCTGAACCCACAGGTTTAACGACCCCACAACCCTCCAGGCTGTCCACTCACCACTGCCTCCCTCCATCCATCTCTGTGCTGTCCGCCTGTCTGTGACCTGACATAATATACTTATTAATTCATTCCACATCCATTCATTCTGTATCTCCTAGCTCTGCTCTCCTGTACTCGGCACACCTGACCAGGCACCTGAGCCCTGGGAAGACAAAGCCAACAGGGCAGATACCAACCCTTTCCTTCCTGCAGTGTGCTGTCTGCAGGGGATGGAGAAGCAAAACAAGAAAACCAATCACTTCCCTAAGCTAGGGTGCTAGTGGGTGCCAGGCGGTCAGACAAAGCAGGCTGATGAAAAACCGGGTATCTGTGCCATGAGGGCATCAGGGAGGCCTCCGGGGAGGCGGCATTTGAGCAGAGCTCTTTTTTCCCACCACAAAAACCAAGGTGCTGCACTCCCGCGGGGAGCCCCCAGAAGAATGGACAGCATGCAGGACCTCGTCCAGCTCATTGGAGCACTCCATGTACTGAGAGTCGGTAATCTTTCCAGACACACATGGGGCTGGTTCCTCGGGGTGCTCAAGCGCCATCAGGGACTCCCCTGTGCCCTTACTCTGCACCCCAAACTCCTCAGCCCTCTATCCTAGCCATCCAGGACATGCCCTGCCCTGGCTTCTCTGCCTTCTCCGCTTGCTCTGCCCACACCCACCCCCCAAACATGCCTTATGGATCTACACCTGCTGCTTCTTTTTTCAGACAAAAAAAAAAGTCATTCTCAGAGTCTCAGATTGAACCTCCTTCACTTTCAAGAAGATGCTCGTTCGTGTGACAGGTGGCGGAGAGGTTTCGCAGAAGGAATGGGTAGTGAGAGAAAATAAGGCAAAGGATAAAGCCATAAAAGACGGAATCACCCCCCTTCCACTTTAGAAACCGCCTCTGCTGCCCCAGATGGCTCCTGGCTCCTGCTGCCGGCACCCTGCGACCAACCAACACTTTCTACCTGGGCCCCCGTTGTCCCTGCCAGCATGCCTGGGCCTCCCGCCTCCCACCACCCCAGGGTCCAGCAGCTCACTGCCCACCAGGGAGGAAGCGCCAGAAATACTTGGAGACTTGGGAAGCGAAGGCACCCGGAGGCTGCTTTTCTCTGCATCTTTCTCCAACCTTTGGATTCCATCTAGTGGCTGGTCTGTTCTGGCCTTTCCTCCTGTTGTATGTGTCCCCAGGGCACATCATCCCTCTCAGAGCTCCACCCCCCCCCAGATGCTCCAGATTAGTGGGCCCCTTGCGGGGAGTGGTTTGTGGCTTGGGGGAGATACTAAGCTCACCATCCTCACCCAGAAAGCCCCCACCCTATACCCAAACATCCCCACTCCCCTCTCCCCTCTCCCTGTGCAAAATCTAGTGTTTCCAGCAGCAAAAGACTCAGGACAGCATGGTCTTAGAGTTTCTGCAGGGTGTGAGGGTGAGGGGAGGACGGGGGGGAGGCGCATGAAGAGGTACCGAGAGCTTCCCTCCATCACCCCAAGCTTCAGTCCTGTTTCCACACAAAGTGCCCCTTCCAGGGCTTCTCCTCCAGTAGCACTCCCCATCGCCATCTTCCACCCCCAAAGGCCACGTCCAGCTCTCCAAGAGGACTTTCCCCTTCCACTTCCTGCTCTGAGTCTCACCCTCACCAGACACGGCAGGACAGGTGCTACGACTACCTTCATTTGACAGATAAGGGAACTGAGGCTAAGTGGCTTACACAGATGGAGCCTTGAGTGGTCGGGTAGATGACCCACAGAAGCTGAGGCCCCAAAGGGGACAGGAGCTGTCCAGGAGCTCCAGAGTTCCTGTCCAGGAACAGAGCCTCGAACCTCCTCCTCATACCCTTCCCCGCACCCTCCACAGCTCCTTGGCAACCTCTAGTGAATGGACTTAGTTCTGGGACAGGCAAAAAAGGGCATAAGGAAAGAGAGGTTTGGGTGCCAGCTTGGGTCTCCCCAACCTGCCGGGGAGCGGAGAGCAGCCAGCTCCTCCTATGACATCGGCAGCCTGGCCAGAGCCCCTGTCAGGGCCACGGCCAGGCGACAGGGCCCTTCCGGCTACCCCCCTATAATTAAAAACACACCGGGCCTCTTGCAGCCTGAGAGGGGCCAAGTTTCTCCCCCTCCAGCACCACTGACTGCGACCTAAACAGCAATATTTATGCCAAGCTCCCCATAATACTGTAAACATCCCCGACATATAGCGGGCCAACTCATGAGTCATTTCCCCAAAGCCAAAGTCAATCAGTGGTACCTCAGCCATATTCCAGGGAGCGCCCGCCAGCAGCAGGGGCCTCAGGCTATCTGCCACACCCAGGGCCCAGGGCACCCTGGGGTACCCCGAGGGGTCCACTCCGGGAAAACTGCAGGAGCTGGAGGACAGTCACTCCGTACCAGGAACAGCGGCTGCCATGCAGGGACACCCCAGGACCCTCTGACCTGGGGTTCCTCCCATGTTCTTTACTGAGGAAAGAGCAAAAGTTACGGCCGGGGGTTGTCCATGTTACCTTTCCCAGAAGCTGCAGTGCTCCGGCCTCTTTCGGGTTTTATTCTTGTTTTGTGTTTTTGAAAACTGAGTTGCATGAGGGGTAGGGGCTTCCCAACCGGCTAGGGATTAGGGTCTTTATAGTTCACGCTCTCAGCCCATGGCAGTGGGTCCTGGAAGGGGTCTCCATGTTTCCGGGCTAGAAGACTCCCAGCTGCAGAGACCTGAGGCCTTGGCTTCCCCTTCTTCACCCAATGGCCCTGGATGACATGCTGACTTTTCTGAGCCGGGGGTTCCCTCTCTATTAAAAGCAGATGAGAATCCACCTGGCTTCCCTGGGTGCCCTATTCTGGGGAACTCGAACAAAATCGTGGGTGGGAAAGCATTCTGTAAAGCTTCAAGTCTGCTGTCAACGGTGCAGAGCGCTGCACACCTCCCCGAGTACTCCACAAACTGTAAAGCGCATGGGAAACGGTAAAGTGCAGCCCAGGAGAGAACCATCACTTAGACTCATTCCGCGCCCTCCAAGCTCAGCCATTTCTGGTGGACACGCCCAGACCCCATGAACTTTCCCTCCAGAGCAAGCGGCTCCGGCGACCTGGCAGCCTCACAGTCCCCCTTTGGGATCGAGGGTCCAAGCCCATGAGGCCGTGGGGACAGGGCCAGGAGACTCTGGCCAAGGCCAACACATGGCAAGAGCATCTGGTCCGGCCTTGGCGGCAGCTGGAGGGTTCCCGGGGCTCCAGCGACCACGCTGAGCTCTGCGGAGAGCGGGGCGGTGGCCGGCAGGGGTGCCCGGAGACCCCGGCGCCGCGGAGAGATGCCCACCGCCCCATCCCCCCCGCCCCATGCAGTCCTCCGGGGTAGGAGACCCCATTGTACGCCGCGGGCGATGGGCAGGCACCAGCCGCGGCGGCGAGCGGGCTCATTCACTTCCACTCCACCAATGCCCGCTTTTCGGGGCACGGACTCCATCTCGGGGGGCACGGCCTGGGAGCCCCCACCCGGGCTGGCCGCGGTGCCTCCCTCCTTCTGCTTCCCTGCCAAACTTTCCAGCCCCGACCGCGCGCCGCCCCCCACACCCCCCGCGCGCGCGCACGCACACACACACACACACAGCACACACAACACACACACACACACACACACACACACACACGCACACACACACCCGACCCCGCGGCCGGCGCCCCTCCAAGCCGTGCCCAGCGAGGCCAGGCCGGCGCGCGGGAGGTGCCCGGGCCGGGGGCGACAGGCGCGCGTGGGCAGCCCCCCGGCCCTGGGCGGCGCTCGCCGGGCTGGCTACAAAGCCTCGGCAAGATGGTCCCTTCGCCTCCTCCTGGCACAGTCAATCAGCGCCCGCCGCTGCCCGGGCGCCCGCGGGGCCGGCGCCCCCCCGCGCGGCCGGACACACCTCCCGGCGGCCACCTGCGCCCGGCGCCAGCCCCCGGGCAAACTTTGCGGGCCGCGGGGCGGAGGTGGGCGCCGGCGGCCGCCGTGCCCGGCCGCTCCCCGCCCCCATCGCCCGGCCGCCCGCTCACCTTCCACGGCGGCGAGCAGCGGCAGCAGCAGCAGCGCGGCCCCCAGCCTCCGCAGGGCCATGGCTGCGCCTCCCGGGCGCGAGCGTGCGCCCCGGGCTCGGGGGCCCGGCGGGGAGCGGCGGGGCGCGGCGCACACACAGCCGCCGCCACCGCGCAGCCAGCAGAATGAGCCATCCAGCCCGGGCAGAACGGGGACCCGGGCTCCGCCAGCGCCGGGCACGGCCCACCTGAGCGCGGGCGCGGGGGGAGCCCGGCCGGGCCCCCGCCCCCGCGCGCGCGCCCGGGACCCCCGCGGGCCGCGCGCGCGCCCCCACACCCCGGCCCCCCACGTCTGCACGGCCCCCCCGGGGGCCGCCGCGCGGGCCGGAGCGCCGGGACCGCGCGCCCCCGCGAGGCCGAGACCCCGGGCTCCCCCCGCGCAGCAGTGGTCTCTCCCGGAGCTGTGGCTCCTCCAGATAAAGCAGCGATTTCAGCCCAAATGTTTCTGAATTTTTATTGAATGCTGCAAAGCCGGAGAGCGTCTGGCGCGGCTGACAGGGGCAGGGAGAGGGGACCTGGGGGAGGGCGGGGTAACGGGCGGCCCGAAGCCGGGACGGTCCTACCTGTCAGGGCCCCGGGTGCCACCCCTTCGCTCCAGCCCGGCTCCCCGGGTCCCTGCGGCTCGGAAAGGGACCGAACTGCAATGAATGAGAAAAAGGGAGAAGGGGGGCGCTGGGCGCTGGGAACAAAACAGGCGGCTTTCCCAGGCGCTGGGGCTGGGCTGGGGCCTCTGCCTGGGAGAATGGGCCTTGGCGCTCACCCAAGGGCCTGTGGGGTGGGGAGGGGTGTCAAGCCGGCTGAGGTGGGCCCGGCCCGGGCAGGCAGACCCCAGGCCTAACCTCCCTGCCTTGGTCTCAGCCAGCCGGGGCACCTTCGCTGCAGACCCTTCTCTCCTATTTCCGCTCTGTCCATCTTGCTCCTGATGCGGCTTCGGGGTGGAGGAGGAAGATGGGGGTGGGGGAGGAGGCAATGGGGCTTATCTAGGGATGTCCCTGTTTCCCCTGTCCCCCCCACCCCAGCCCTGGACCACGGTTTTGTACGTGGTCGTCCCTTCCCTTCCAAGCGGACCTTGTTCCTCCTGGTGGGCTGGGCTGAGCTGACAGTCTTCATCACCATCATCATTAACAGGCTTTGCCAAGGCTGGAAGGTGGGGGAAGGCAGGGGCCCGTGGGATTCGCCCAGCCAGGGCCCCTGCCTTTGGGAGCTCTGCTCTCGACAAACAAGGCTAACCCAGAAGCTTCCCTGTGAGGAGGCTGCGGGTGAGCGTCCATGGAAGACTCACATGGTTTGCTCTCCGTCTTTACCATCCAGATCTCTCCTGTCCTTTCTGCTCCAAACCATGGCTTTGCCCCTGCCATCTCTCCCCTCAGAGTCCATCCTACAACCCAGACCTCAAGGAGGGCCCCATCTGATATCTGAGACAGGCTCCATCTCTCAAAGCCTCGGGACATTGAGGAGAGATACTCTCCGGGAGAGAAGAAAGGTTGGAAGGGAGGTTCCGGCTCAGTCTCCAGCCTCCTCTTTAGGCAGGGTCCATATACACTGGGGCTGCTTTAAAAAAAAAATTTAGTTCTCATTGAATTAGACCTTCCAGGGGACCCAGGAAGAGAGAAGAACCCCCTCTCCTGAGCAGGCACTCTACGCCATGACACTCATTAGTCCCCCCCTATCCCCACCCCCGCACCTCCCAGCCAAAGGCCCTGTGCCCTCCCACATCAGGAAATATCTATGAAGCACCTAATAAACGTGCTGGGTGGATTCAATTCCTTGACTCCCGTTTCTGCTCATCACCTACCTAACCACTCTACTCCAGTAGTGGAGAGTGCCTTCACTGACTCAAAACAGTCTGGGTTAAACTTGGCTCATTCATGCAGGTGCAGGAGAGATGGCCTTGCACCCAGGTGTGATCTCTGGCACCATTAGCGCTGATCCCTGAGCACTGCTGGGTGTGGCCCCCAAGAACAACAGCAAGCAGGAAGCTGAACTCAAGGCCAAGGTAATTGATTTACAGGAGGTCACACAGCAAATTGGAACTAAAATTCCACATTGCGCCTGGTCCCCTTAAACCTTCCTGGAATGCACAGAGTTTGGGATCTTCTTTCCTTAGCTTCTCCCTACTCCCCTTTCACAGATGAGCAAAACAAGGCACCAAGCGTGAAATGAGTTCCTCATCCTGAGACAAGCAACGAAACAGACATCGTTGGTTGAAAAAGACAGTGAAAATAAAAAACAGCTCTTTAGGGCTGGGTAGGGCTCTTGCCCTCAACACGTCCAGTCTTCATTTGAGTCCAGGCACTGCGTATCTGCATATAGTCCCTCGAGCACTGCCAAGACTGATCCCTGAGCACAGGACCAGGAGTAAGCCCTGAGCATCATTGAGTGTGGCCCCATCGCTCAAGGAAGAAAGTGTCCTCCTTGTGCGTCTTTTCTGCTCTGAACCCTCTGAACCCTGACTCCTCAAGTGAGACTCTGCCAGGGTTTTGTAATCGGACCAGTCCCCCTCCCCACTGAACTGCTTCCAGCCAGCCTTGTCTTTGGCTCCACCTTGCTCTCTCCACCTGGCTGGCCTCGCCACTCTACTGGCTCAAATGTCCACTCCCCGCCCCCAGCAGGAACCTTAATTGACATTGGCCTCCCCTTCCTTGGACCCTTTGTCCTTTTTGTCCTTGTTATCTATTCCCTGAAAAGTGGTCAGCCCTGCATGTCCCTGTCCGGGCTCTGGACCGTTGGAGAATTTGTCCATCTGATTCCCATCTTATCTCCTCCCCCCTGCAGACTGTGAGCTGCCTGCAGGCAGTGCCCTGCTGAGAACAATGCTTGGGCAGGGCAGGCGGCCCCCAGAGAGCCTCTGACCCAGTCCTCTCCTCTGCAGAGGAAGAGGCGGCTTTAGCTTCATTTGTCTAATGACAACAGCTACTCGCATTTGCAATCACGCTTTAACAGTTTACAAAGCAGTGTTCACACCCACCAGCTTCACGGATGCTAATTCAACCAGCCGATCTTGCCAGCCAGCCTGGCAGCGCACTCAGCTCCATTTTTCAGAAGGGGAAACTGGGGCCTGCAGAAGCAAAAAAGTACTTGCCCAAGGACACTCTGCAGATTTGGGGGAAAAGGATGGAGGCAGGGTGGCAATGGTGCCGCTGAAACCAGGATTCAGTAACCTGATTTGTTCTTGTCACTTTCAATCCACTTTGATTTAATAAACATTAATTGGGCCCTTTCTACATGCCACATATGGGCGAGCAGAAACATTTACAGGGCCAGAGCGTTAGTACGTTGGGTAAGGTGCTTGCCTTGCCCTTGACTGTAGCTGACTCGAGTTTGATTCTGGCACTCCACATGGTAACCACAGAGCCAGGAGTAAGCCCTAAGCTCCACTGGGAATGGCCAAAAAACAGAAGGAGGAGAAGGAAATGGAAAAGAAGGAGAAGGAGAAGAAGGAGAAACAGAAGAAGGAGAAGGAAGAAGAAGAAGAAGAAGAAGAAGAAGAAGAAGAAGAAGAAGAAGAAGAAGAAGAAGAAGAAGAAGGAGAAGAAGAAGAAGAAGAAGAAGAAGAAGAAGGAGAAGAGGAGGAGGAGGAGGAGGAGGAGGAAGAAATATTTACAGGCAACTTTCTCTTTTCTAGAACTTACATTCTACTGTAAGAAGATGTGGGCAAGATTGATATAATATTCATGCTAGGAAGACAGTGTAACAGGGAGTTAGGCTTAAGGTTAGGATGGGAGAGGACCTCTCTGAGGAAAGGAGGAGCAGGAGGCCACCATACAGGAACGTAGAAAGAGTCTGGGAAGGGACAGCATATACAGAGCTCTTGCTGTAGGAAATTGCTAGATACCTTTTAGAAGTAGTTGCCAAAATAGGGCAGGCATTGCACATGGATGGATCTAGAGAGTATCATGAGGAGTGAGGTTAGTCAGAAGGAAAGGGACAGACAGACAATGATCCCTCTCGTATGTGGGATCTAAAGTAACACACATGCTAGGGGAAAAGGGAGCTCAGATAGAGAAGGGAGCACCAAATAAAGGGTGTCAGGAGGATCCTCCCAGGATGGGAGAAGCATGCTGAAAGTAGACTATAGACCAAACATGATTGCCACTCAATGCCTTTTTTTCAAACCACAACACCCAGAAGGAGAGAGAACAAAGGGGAATGCCCTGGCACAGAGGCAGGGTGGGATGGGGGGGATGGGGGGTGGGAGGCATACTAGGATCCGTGGTGGTGAAAAATGGGCACTGGTGGAGGCATGGGAATTTGATCATTGTATAATTGAAACCCAAGCACAAAAATTTGTAAGTCTACAACTGTACCTCATGGTGTCTCACTAGTAAAAATTAAAAAAAAAAAATAAAGTAACAAAGTAGGGATGCAAAGTAGAAACTGAGAATGGATCTTCAGAGGAAGCTCCGCCATAGGGAAGGGAAAGGGTGGGAGGAATGAGGGAGGGGCGGCAAGTGGGACAACAGTGGAGGGAAGTGGACACTGGCAGAGGGTGTGTTGCTGGAATGTATTAGGCATGAAACCCTATCACTAACAGTATTGTAAGTCTAGGATAAAATTAAAAGCGAAATAAACAAAAACCTAAGGCAAGCAGCCAGAGTGGAGTTGAGATCCTGGTAGCAGAGCCCAGTTGTCTTTTAACGTTCAAGGCAAAGCCATCAAGGGGCGGGAGTGATAGCACAGCGGGTAGGGGCGTTTGCCTTGCATACGGCTGACCTGGGTTCGATCCCCAGTGTCCCATATGGTCCCCCAAGCACCCCCAGGAGTAATTCCTGAGTGCAGAGCCAGGAATAACCCCTGAGCATCACTGGGTGTGACCCAAAAAGAAAAAAAGAAAAAAAAAAGGTAGAGCCATGAAGGATGTAAGCAGAGAAGGAATGAATGAAAGGGTGGGTGGGAGGGAGCCTTGGTTTGCGAGCCTGGGGGCCTCCTGGATGCTCACCCCTACCTCCCTCCTCCTAGGTCTCACCCCCTTCAAGAGAGACTCCATCCCTCCTTCATTCGCTGTATGACTTAGAGCAGAATACTCATCACCCTCTCTGGTCCTACCTGCCCTAAAGAGGAAATGTGGCCCTTGGCCAGAGGGATTTCTCTAAGCTCACTTTCAGTCCAGACTTGCTCA